AGTGGTGGAGGGTGCATATTTCACACCTTTGTTGAGTATTTGGTGTATGTTTCGTCTTTTTGTAAGTAACTGGAGGTGTTCTAGACAAAGTTGGTTTTCCAAAAATGTTTTGGGGTCTAGTGAAATTTTTGCAATGAATTGTTGCTTAATCTACTAGTAATGTGTTTTATTGTATTTATTCCTATTTTTCGGAGTTGTAGAAACAGTTTTATTATTGTGCGATCATTTTGACTATTGATTTTTTTTTTTATTGAAACTTCTGACTTTTTGTCTTCTTCAAAGTTTCTTTGATCTCTATCAATTTTTTTTTATTTTTAATGGACATAGTATCCTCAAAAACCTTTTCCAATTTCTTTTCTATTTTCTCCATAAGTTGTATGCCTTCAAGTTTTTCTAAATGAGGGGTAAGTATCTCTTTAAGATTGTTAATTTCCTCGTCCAGTAATCTTAAAACTCTTTTGCATTGATACAGATGATATGGTCTAAAATGCGATTCCATACAATATTAAACTCTGGGTCCTCCTTATCCGCTGCTGATTGCAGCATTAGACCCAGGCCCCTTGGTATAATCCTGCTATCCCAATACCTCTCTACGGAAGCAATTTCTAATTTAATCTTCATTTTAGTAATAATATGCTCTTCCAATAAAAAAACTAATTTCTTCCACTGGTTTTCTGTACCAAATGTGACCAGGTATCCCCCCTTTAACACAACATCCACTTTACACTAATCCCTAAATGTACATGTGTGCTGCTTTTGTGTAAAGGAATAATAAATACAGAGTTTAAAAACACAAAAGATTATAAATATATGTAAACAATAATTAGAAAGCTGCAAAAGATTATTCTCCAAAACTTTCCAAACAAATAAAAACGTAGAAAAGTGTCAGCGCTTAGTTAATAATTCCCAAGAGTCCATACAAATGGGGAACTGAGGTCTAAGCAGACACGTAATGCGTTAGACAAAGGCGAAGTCTGGAGAAGGTAGGGGAGTCCTTATATCATATCATATCATATCATATCATATCATATCATCACTAGCCCCTCCCACAACTCCAGCCTCCGCCTTTACATATGTGAACTTTTATGGGTGGCAATGGAGTCAGACATGCATTTATCTCTGTGAATTTCTGTCATGCATTGTGAACAACAAAATACCATTTGTTTGTTCTTGCCCCCCAGGACAAGCGTTGTTAATCCTGCACTTGCAACTACTCAATTGGTGTTAGAGATGTGGTTGCAAGGTTAATACAACATGGTGTGCAGTTTCTAAATATAATTTATATAATATTATGTCCTAGTGTGATTTGTAGAACATCTTGGGGTATGAGTTCCACAGTGTGCTATAGGAGGATGGGGTTTTGGTAGAAGTATCAGATTCTTGTATGTGTGCACCAGTGACCTCTGTAACTATTATGTTTGTATGATATCTTAACTGTGTTACCAGATTATTTTTCATACACCCTTCCTTACATTTGGAAATGTATTTACATTGTCCTTTAGCTTAGACCATGTGATTTGGTAGGCTTAATTCTACCAAAACCCCATCGTATACCTCATCCTTTTTAGAATGGTTAGGATGAGGTATACGATGGGGCTTTGGTAGAAGCGCAATTCAATATATAAGGGGTGAGTCATACAATGTACAATTAGGTTGGAGCCCTTTGTCTTTTGCCACCTATCAATGCCATTGGCTGCAGTTCTGAACCTATAACTCTGTAACATGTCCATGTTTTTTGTTTGTTTTTTAAATCTCACAACACGCGGGTCCAACTCTTTAAAGTTGCTTGCTCTGTACAAATGCTCCTGCTACGTCTGTCTCTCTAACGACCAAACATAATTATGACAGTAGGTGGCAGTGTGGCCTCCTACTTTCCTCCTATACACATTACCACCCTCTCTCATTCTGTCCCAGGTGGCACAACAGATTACAGTTTCTTCCTGTTGTTAAGAGTGGAGTGGGATGATAAGAGGAGGGGAGATGTTGAATCCTTCATTTATCCCATATTATCCTCCATATTACCCTGACACACATCTTTTACACTACATATGCATATTTGGTGTTTTTTGTGTGTGTGTGTTTTTTTTTTTCATCTTATTAAACCGATTTGTTTAATTTTTGGTAAAACAGTCTGTTTTCCATCTCTACTTACCTTGCTACTTACCATGTTCAATGGCATCTGGGAGAAATTTTAGAAACCCAGAAACATAGAATGTGACGGTAGATATGAACCATTTGGCCCATCTAGTCTACCCAATTTTCTAAATACTCTAATTAGGTCCCTGGCCTTATCTTATAGCTAGGAAAACCTTATGCCTGTCCCACGCATGCTTAAACTCCTTCACTGTGTTTACCTCTACCACTTCAGATGGAAAGCTATTCCATGCATCCACTACCCTCTCAGTAAAGTAATACTTCCTGATATTATTTTTAAACATTTGAACAGCAGCTCCCTGAAGGCAATAATTAAAAGAATGAAATACTTTATTTCATCATCAGAGACTTTCCTAATAAGTGGTGCTATCTGGACACATATCTCAATATTCCATAGCCAGTCTTGTTATAAAGTGTTGTGCATTAAGTGTATACCACGTATCATGGTAATTTTATATAATTCATGCAAGTTGCATCCAGACACGTTCTTTATGAGCAGTGCCATCTAGGCACATACATCTATTAATATTTAGTAACAGGTATTGATATAAGCGTCTTTTCATGCATTAGGAGTATCATTTGTATCTGGAAATGTATTTACATTGTCCTTTCAACTTAGTCCAGTGTGGTTTGGTAGGTTTAATATTTTAAATACCTTTTTAGTCCTAAGTAATTGCTATATGAATTTTTTTTTTTTTTTTTTTTTTACAGTAATATTCTTTTAACCCCTTAGAAATAGGAAGCGTGGTTACATCAGGAAACAACCTGTTTTTTCGATCCTTTCCTACTCCTCCCAACAGTGACTGGGCATCATATTAACCACTGGTTGCCCTGAACTTCTCAATATTGCTGAACTATTTCAGGAGGACAGGCTATGGAGAGCAATGACTCATGTATCTGAGTCCTGAACACACGCTATAAACAGATGGAATTTATGTATTGCAGATTGTTGTATTGGGCAATATCAAGGTTACTGTGCGTACTTCACGAGTTTCTTATAATGAGCTTCCTTGTGTAAACATGACTTATATCAAATTATTATCTATATTGACGGTGTTTACAACAAACTGCCATTACTTATTCACTATGTTATCTGAAACAGAAGTACATGTGAGAAAAGGCATAGAATTTAAACATTTTAAAATATTGTAACAGGAATACAGAAGGTTGGTCCCAGACTTGGTGTCCAGACCCAGCATCTTATGCTGCCAACAAAATTATCGAGGGACTATTGCTACATTCAGGTACCCCAGTACTGCTCATCTCGCAGCTTGAGTTTTTTCAGTAGTACCTGACAGCCGTCAGTCAAGCACTGGATAAAGTAACAAATAACTCTCCTGACCTCAAATCCAGTGTATGTATGTGTATGTGTGTGTGTGTGTGTGTGTGTGTGTGTGTGTGTGTGTGTGTGTATATATATATATATGTGTGTGTGTATGTATGTGTGTGTATGTGTATATATATATATATATATATATATATTTACGAAAAAATCTAAATTCTGGCACTAACCAAACAAATATATACATAATGTGTCCACTGCGTCCACCACACACACACACACTCTGCATCCACTGTGCACACACACACACTCTGCATCCACGCACACACACAGACACTCTGCATCCACCGCGTACACACACACACTCTCTGCATCCACCGCACACACACACGCACACTCCGCATCCACTACACACGCACACTGCATCCACCACACAGACATACACATACTCTGCATCCACCACACATACTCCGCATCCACTACACACACACACTCTGCATCCACTGCATCCACCATACACACACTGCATTCACTACGCACACATACACACACTCTGCATCCACTGCACACGCACACTGCATCCACCACCCACCCACTACACACACACACTCTGCATCCACTACACACACACACACTCTGCATCCACTACACACACACACTGCATTCACCACACACACTGCATCCACCACATAGACATACACATACTCTGCATCCACTACACATGCACACTGCATCCACCACAAACACACACACTGCATCTACTACACACACAGATACACACATATTCTTCATCCACTACACACATGCACGGCATCCACCGTTTCCACTTTATGCACACACTTCATCCAAAATCACTCACACAGAAACTGCATCCCCTTTACACACTGCATCATCAGCACACACATATCCATGCTCCAGCTGGAGAGTTTAGAGATCCAACTGGAACAGCAGCTCCGACGAGTGCAGAGCTGCAGACTAAGGTGTCTCGCGATCTCCAGCCAATAAGAACGTTGCCACGGGTTACCATGGCAACGCTCTGACTAGCGATCATGAGACTTACCACGTGGCGCTGCAGACCGGAGAACCAGCCCACCGGACCACCAGGAAATAATTACAGAAAACTAAAGGTATTTACCTTTTCACAGCCCCCCTACCCATCTTACAGCCCCCCTACCCACTTTACAACCCCTACCCACTCACAGCCCCCCTACCCACCTTAGAGCCTCCCTACCTACTCACAGTCCCTCTACCCAACAGACAGACCCCCTAAATAAAGCCTCCTAACCACTTACTGCCCCCAACCCACCTCACAGCCCCTCTACCTTTTCACAGCCCCTCTACCTTTTCACAGCCCCTCTACCTTTTCACAGCCCCTCTACCTTTTCACAGCCCCTCTACCTTCTCACCGCCCCCCTACTTTTTCACAGCCATCCTACCCATACCTTTTCACAGCCATATCCAACCGTCTCTCCACACACCATCACAGCCACTCCCACACACTCTGTCACAGAGGAAGTTATTCCCGTTGACAAATAAGCAAACCTATTTCACAAATGTATCCAGTCTACACAGATTTGCTTTAATTTTTAATCATCTACCACCTACAAACAAGCAAGTCAAATAAATAAAAATATCACATTGTGTGCTTGCCCTGCCTTATGTAAATAACAACAAAAAAACACAACATAAATAAAGAATAAACTTAAAGTGAGAGGTACAAGTTGTTTTTAAAAATGCATGAAGTTAAATATATCCCAAATATTGTGAATATATGGCAAGACAGTATTATTTCCTAAAATTTCACAACTTCACATTTTTTTTAGCAGGAATGAACACAAGCCCTCTAAAGAGCAAAATACTTCTTATATTAAAGGGACACTACAGTAGTGGCTCTGTTGTCTATAGCATGTCCCTGCAGGCATTGTAATGTAAACATTGCCTGTTTACATTGCTCCCAAAGGACACCTTCAGTAGCAGTTACTCAGACAGCCAATAGAGGTGCTTCCTGGGGCAGTGCTGCACAGTGTGAATCACTGACATTCAGTGTCTCCATGCTCTGGATGGAGGCACTAAACTTTCCTCATAGAGATTCAATGCATCTCTATAAGTAACTGCTGATTGGCGCAGCGCAGCGTTTTGCTGTGCATGCGTAATGGTTGAGATGGATGAAATTGTCAGTTTTGATGATCTCAGCCAAGGAGGCGAAGCAGGGTCAAAGCCAGGTCCGAGGAGACCGGCGCTGCCCTGGATAAAAGGTGAGTTTGTTGGCTTTTTAAAGTGTGCCAAGGAGGGCTAATACACCATACACCAAAATCTAATATTGTAATAACTTAACAAACAGGATTATTAAATAAAGTGAGATATGTTGGAAATTCAATATCAATTATAGGTGAATTTAAAACCAATGAATCCGAATTAGAAGAATAGCATTTCCACTTTGGATATTTTCATTAAGTTTTGAAAATAAATTAGTCTCTCTGGTCTTTCTTGTTTCTGTGCAGGGAGTCAATCATGGAAAACCATAGAGACAAATTGTCGGTTTGCAAACACCATCTGACCCAAGGTGCATGTATTTGGCTGAACGATCCGGCCATTTACTAAAGGAAGGAATTCATTTTCTCAATTTTAGTTTTTTACATATACTTCTTTTTTTTTAAAAAAACAATCTATTTTGTTTTGGAAATTTGATGGACGTATTTATGAAAATTAACTTTGAATTTGCTTTGAATTCCTAACAATTCTCGTGTTACTGTAAAACCTGATAGAATAAGGTCAGTCTATTAGTCACATTTCAGCGATGTTTAAGGAATAAACTGCAAAGATAAGAAGTCTATGCAAATGATAATTACTGGGTAGCATTGATTACAGTAATGTGAGAACACAATGAGCAGGATTCTGCTTGTAGACACACAGGTGCATATTATAATGAAAACCTGTTTTTTACAATAGAGTTAAAAATCTGTGATAAAGTTACATCTGTCAATGGCATATTGCCAATTCAAGTCCCCGAGTGACAAATCACAACTAGACAAATTATGTAGCCCTCATATTACCTAATAATTAACTCTACAGCCTGTGTAACAAATAGGTAATGGTTGCACTATTAAAAGTTGCACTATTGAAGGCAACAGAAAATTGCATTAGGCTTGTCAGTAAAAGCAAAAAATTCAAGAAACCACTGTGGTACTCCGCAGATGTGGCCAAAATAGTTAAAAACAAAAAGTTAGCATTTAGGAATTATAAAAAACCCAGAGTGAGGAAGACAAAATGATCTATAAGATTAGGCAGAAAGAGGCTAAGCAAGTTATAAGAGCTTCCAAATCACACACAGAAGAGAAAATAGCACAGTCAGTAAAAAAGGGGGATAAAACATTTTTTAGATACATAAATGAGAAAAGAAAAGTAAAACAAGGATTAGTTAGATTAAAAACAAAAGAAGGAAGGTATGTAGAAGAGGATAAAGGTCAGGCTGACTGCCTCAATGAATATTTTTGTTCTGTATTTACAGTAGAAAATGAAGGAAAGGGACCTCAGTTGAGAAAAAGGATAAATGAGTCATTTATTACACGTGAGTTTACAGAGGAAGAGGTTCTATTTCAACTGTCAAAAGTAAAGACAAATAAGTCAATGGGACCTGATGGAATACACCCAAAGCTATTAAAAGAGCTTAGTGGTGTACTAGCAAAACCATTAACAGATTTATTTAACCAATCATTGTTAACAGGAGTAGTCCCAGAAGATTGGAAGTTAGCGAATGTTGTGCCCATTTACAAGAAAGGTAATAGGGAGGAGTAGGGCAACTATAGGCCAGTAAGCCTTACTTCAGTAGTGGGGAAAGTGATGGAAACCATGTTAAAGGATAGGATTGTTGAACATCTAAAAACACATGGATTTCAAGATCGGAGACAACATGGGTTTACTTCAGGGAGATCATGCCAAACAAATCTTATTGATTTTTTTGATTGGGTAACTAAAATTATAGATCAGGGTGGTGCAGTAGACATTGCTTACCTAGATTTTAGTAAGGCTTTTGACACTGTTGCACATAGAAGGCTTATCAATAAACTGCAATCTTTAAGTTTGGATTCAAATATTGTTGAATGGGTAAGGCAGTGGCTGAGTGACAGGCAACAGAGGGTTGTAGTTAATGGAATATATTGAAGCTTGGACTTGTCAACAGTGGGGTACCTCAGGGATCTGTACTTGGACCCATTCTCTTTAATATTTTTATTAGTGATATTGCAGAAGGTCTTGATGGTAAGGTATGTCTTTTTGCTGATGATACTAAGATATGTAACAGGGTTGATGTTCCGGGAGGGATAAGCCAAATGACAAATGATTTAGGTAAACTAGAAAAATGGTCAGAATTGTGGCAACTGACATTTAATGTGGATAAGTGCAAGATAATGCATATTGGACGTAAAAACCCAAGGGCAGAGTACAGAATATTTGATAGAGTTCTAATCTCAACATATGAGGAAAGGGATTTAGGGGTGATTATTTCTGATGACTTAAAGGTAGGCAGACAATGTAATAGAGCAGCAGGAAATGCTAGCAGAATGCTTGGTTGTATAGGGAGAGGTATTAGCAGTAGAAAGAGGGAAGTGCTCATGCCATTGTACAGAACACTGGTGAGACCTCACTTGGAGTATTGTACACAGTACTGGAGACCGTATCTTCAGAAGGATATTGATACCTTAGAGAGGGTTCAGAGAAGGGCTACTAAACTGGTTCATGGATTGCGGGATAAAACTTACCAGGAAAGGTTAAAGGATCTTAACATGTATAGCTTGGAGGAAAGACGAGACAGGGGGGATATGATAGAAACATTTAAATATATAAAGGGAATCAACACAGTAAAGGAGGAGACTATATTTAAAAGAAGAAAAACTACCACAACAAGAGGACATAGTCTTAAATTAGAGGGACAAAGGTTTAAAAATAATATCAGGAAGTATTACTTTACTGAGAGGGTAGTGGATGCATGGAATAGCCTTCCAGCTGAAGTGGTAGAGGTTAACACAGTAAAGGAGTTTAAGCATGCGTGGGATAGGCATAAGGCTATCCTAACTATAAGATAAGACTAGGGACTAATGAAAGTATTTAGAAAATTGGGCAGACTAGATGGGCCGAATGGTTCTTATCTGCCGTCACATTCTATGTTTCTATGTTTCTATGGTGATTCGTGGTTTAATTATGCCTTCATAAAACAAAAATCTACCACCTAGTTTATCACTTACTGACAAGGTATTAAGAAGTTATTCACTAAAGACCCAACTGTAGTGAATTTAAAAAAAAAATGGGAATTGTAACATTTAGACAAAAATTGCATATCTGTGCGGTTTGTTCAGGCGAAAGTAGGATACATTTTGCAAATTGGCTATTATCGCCTAAATATTGCAATTCAGTTTTTTATTCGCTGTAATTCAGAATTTAGTGGATAGGCTACCGGCACTCCAAATCATCACTTTTTCAGTTTTCAATTCACAACAACTTAGTGTTTAGCAAAAAAAAATTAAAAATTAAATATATTCCAATTTGTAATTACAAACTTTTCTGTAAACTTGGATAAAATTGCCAGCACCGCTGTTTCATATTTTGGTGTTTTTGCTTACATTTTGGCATTTCTTAGTCTGTTTCCCCTATGCCATTCATTATTGTATATGTCCCTGGATGATTTGAACAATTAAGCCTTTACTTACGTGTCAAAGGGACTCAAAGGCTAGATAGCAAGGGACTATAACTGAGCGCCTGTCTTTCACACAAATCTTTCATAATACTTTCTGCATTCTAATAATACCTAAGATCATGTTTGGGTACAATCAAAATAATACACACAAAGAAATAAAGTCAAATGTAAGAAATTGACTGATTTTGTGTTTGACATATATTGAATGTGTTGCAATATACTAGAAAATCCCCAAAGTTTGGTTCTGCAATGGGTACAATTTCCAGTTTCAGTGAGCAGACCCAAATTTCGTTTTCCATTAGTAAATTAGTCATGGAAAAAGGCAAGAGAAAGTTGCACTCCTTTGAATTTTGCCTGCTGCAGAGTTTATTTCACATTGTTTGCCCCAATCAGAGGTCTTTCTTATAAATAGTTTTGTATCTTAAATATTCTTCTATGCATTGGATGGCAGCATCGTCTACTTCGGGGTCAAATTTGTTAGCAAGCAAGTGATGTTGTTGCATTAACCAGTTGAGATCTCCAGTTCCATACACACATACAGCTCTTCTGTGAACACCTGCACATTTGGGGTATGCGTTTCCTTTCTGTATGTCCCCTTCGTTGTACACCCATTTCACCATCCTAGGCAAAGCATTCATGTCAGATAATTCATACTTCGAATTAGGAAGGGAAGATCCGGGAACACCTGGCATTCTATTCAGGGTAGCCCACAGATGTTCATCTGGACTGTAAGTGTCTCTGCTCCAGTTCATTAACTTTTGAACTTTTGGTTCTTCTAAAATGTATTTCACAAATTCTCTGGAGACAACAAAATAAGCGTTACCTGAAAACATTGGCGTGTCAATGGGTGGAGGTGACTTCAGAACGTTGGTCTGAGATACATAATCTTTCACTTCGTGGTGGAACTTCCACCGGTTCTGTTTATAACTTGAAGGGGTCTCAGATTCCATATTGTTTTTCCCGTTTAGAACCTTGAGTACTTTAACCATCTCGGCATTGGTCTTGAGTGGGAAGTCAGTGCCACAGGTGTTAAGGAGATACCTCCACTGAACCTTGCTCTGGAGAAGATCCTCCATACAGTTGAGGTCAGCTTGAACTCTGGACCAAGATGCATAGACCACCTTCTCCAGCTTGGAAGCCACAAACACGTTATCAAAGCAATTCGCGATGGATCTCACTGCTTCTTTGAAATTATCGGTAGCCTTGGCGTCCACGTGGACACAGTAAAGATTCTGAGGAGCATAAACGGCTCTCAGGAGACGTTCAAACATCTCAATCTGATTATGGACCACCATGGAATAGGCAATGGGGAAATCTTTTTCTTCACTACTTGTTGGAAAAGCGACATATCTTCTGAAGATCTTGAATTGTGTACAGTCTTTGGTCAAATTCAAATAGCTTAGTTCATCTAAACGAGCTGCATCTTTCTTTCTAGCCAAATTAAATATTAGAGCTTTGTCTATAGCATTCTGATCTCCTTTAATAATTTTGGAGCAGTTCACCTTACCTTCAGTTTCTCGTTCTAGGTGAAGGAGAGAATACATCTCATGCTTGCACTGTTGACTTTTGGCGCTGTCCACCTCGCTTTGAATGTCTATCAGAGAACATTGGTTGGACACGTATCTCACCAAGAAAGTCCCAGAGAATATTAGCAGGGAGCCCAGAAAGAGCTTATGCAGGTATCGATAACTTGATCTCTTAGAGTCACAGCTAAACCTTTTCATTGTGTTGTAATTCAGGTTCAGTGAGGAAAGGAAACTAATGATCTTGCAACGAGGTAGTCGAAAACTCTGACCGACTGGTTTTCTTAGTTACTTCTGCTTTTAGGCAGGGAATTATTTTACAGTGCAGATTACACGTGGAAAAATTTTTGGAAGCTAGGTGTGTCAACGTGATGTAG